GCAACTGGGAAAACCATGGCCTGGACTATACGCACTTTTGTTGGCAGGGTGATGTCTCTGCTTTTTAGTATGCTGTCTAGATTTGCCATAGCTTTCCTCCCCAGGAGCAAGCGTCTTTTAATTTCTTGGCTGCAGTCTCCATCTGAGGTGATCTTGGAGCCCAGAAAAATAAAATCTGTCACTACCTCCATTTCTTTCCCATCTATTTGCCAGGAATTGAGAGGGCCGGATGCCATGATTTTGGTTTTCTTAATGTTGAGTTTCAAGCCAACTTTTGCACTCTCCTTCTTCACCCGCATCAAGAGGCTCTTTAGTTCCTCTTCACTTTCTGCCATTAGCATGGTATCATCTGCATATCTTCTAGTCTAGTCTAGTCTAGTCTAATCTATTTTCAAGTTTTATCTTTTTTGGGGGGTGGGGGGAGATGACTTCTAACTTTGGTCCTGTTTTGTTTTTGAAAAACAGAGTCCCAAACCCCTTTGTATAATTTCTTCCATGTTTTGCTGAGTTGGAAAAAAAATAAAGACACATATATAGCTTGATTAGCTATGTACCATCAAGTTGGCGTCAACTCTTGGCATCCACATAAATTCTCTCCATGAGAATCGGTGCTTAATCTGACACTTCAGAACATTTCTCCAGAGACCTAGATCTTCATATAATATATCCAAAGTATGATAATTTAAGCCAGGTCATTTATACTTTAAGTGAGAAATCTGGGCTGTTTCATGATCCTTTAAAAAAAAAAATTGGCTTTCCACAATACTATCAGGAGATTTTTCAAACACCAGTTTTCAAAAGTATCAATACTTCCTATCCTGCTTCTTTAAAATCTACTTTTCATTTTCATAAGACGTCAAAGGGAATACCAATGCCTGCACTATTCTGATCTTTGTAGAAGAGAAACAACGCAGCATTCAAATATTATTTCCAAGACCTTCATGACTACTTTAAGTGTATAAGTGTGCGCGCACATGTATACATACATATATGGAACTATAATGCTATTACAATATCAATGCAAAGCAGTAACATAAAATTGTTTTGCAAACATAGCCTACCTAACATCAGAATGATTATTGGCTCAGAAATGGGTCTAGTGTTGTCTTATGTTTTTGCAAGTGACTCAAGGATTAATGGAAATTATCTACCTTGAATGTCATATGGGAAAAAAAAGATATCAATCACCATAATAAAAACATATTATGTTATATCCTAAAGACGCTGTGTGAATTGAAGCTACGTTTTCATCTAGTTCAGAGGTGCCGGCAATGGCAAAAAAGTCGCGATACATCGCAACATGTCATGAGACATTGCAAGTTTGACACCCCTGATCTAGTTTGTCTACTGATGGAACACAAATTCTTATGAAGCATCTGAATGACAAATGAAAGATTTTGAGAATTGGAGAGTGATGACACTGTTCTTATGACAAAATTGACTAAATATTGGTTCATGTTTTAAAATTTAGTTCTATATATTTAGAAATGTTAGATTCTATTAGATCTTGAGAATCATGGGGCACAATATTAAACTAGATGTGGGAAATCTCATATCCTTATTTGCCACAAAATTAAGTGGTGACCTTCAACCAACCATGTATCCCTAGATTTACTTCATGGGATTGTTTGGAAAGTAAAGTGGAATGTGACAAACCCAAAACCATGAGACCATGAAGGAAAAGTTCCATATCAAAATATTAAATAAATATTTCAGAATGTGACAGATATTTTAGTTATTGTGATAACAGGTATATTGCTTATTGTAAGTCCGCACATTTAATAACAGCCATTTAGATACTCCCCCCTTAAAATCTAACCTTGTCCAATTAAAGTTTTTTAGGACATCTGATACTATTTAATGCAACATCATGGCTGGAAATGTAACCTTCAGAATTTTTGTATACTTCTATCAATAAATAGAAAAAATATATACTTTCAGATTATACATTTTTATCACGACTTTACATAGGGAATAACATTAGAAGTGCAAAGCAGTGTTATTGAAAGCCTCACAATATTACTATATATTCATGTTCTCTTTAGCAAGCAGTTTATGGTACCAATTTATATTATAAAGAAATCATTGTGATTTGTCCAATTTTGACTATAAAAGACTCCTATAAAGTAAATAACTGTAAAATTCTGTTTACCTACTTTCTGCAAAACTTCAATTTTGCTTTTGGTTTAATGTCCTTGTTTATTTTCCCAACATACTGCCATAAAAAAACCATATTCTAAAACAAACATAATTTGGTTATTTATTTTTATAATCAAAGACCAAAATGAACTAGAAACTACATATCCATTTTCACATATATTTTGTAGAAGTAATATAGAAATGGTTTGGCGCAGCTTTCAATATATTTTTTAAAAATTCCAAGCCTAGTCTATGCTATACATGCTCATTAGGGTAAAAAGGCCACTGAATTTAATATAGGATTTAATAAAGTATCCGAGTAAAGCCTTAGATTTCAACAGTTATTGCACATACTTTACCTTTCCCTGCTAAAACTTTTTTTTTAAAAAATTACTATTAATACAAATGATACACCATCCTTAAACTACACTTACAACTGAACATTTGCTCCCAAAATAGCCAAGTAGGTGCCGTCCATAGGATATGAGCATCCATAGGATATGTTCATAGGATATGAGCGCAATTATATGTTTCTGCTCATATTCCCTAATGTTTAGATTTCTGTTTGATCTTGATACAGTCAACATAATTAATAGCCACTAATAGCTTTATCTGCAATTAATTTGACTAATTCCCTCTTTAAAAATGACTCAAGTTTGCTGACATCATCAAATTATATAACTTAGATACTTATCCTTTACTATAATGGTTTATATTATATTAAAATGATATTTATATATCATTTTAAATAGTATATTTTAAATAAAACCAAGAGATAAAACAACCCAAACTGCCATACAGAGACCAGAGTGATGGTCCACCAACACAGGATGGAAAGATTGTTTAGCAACTCAGAAACCAAATGTTACAATATTATTATTCCAAATCAATCCTCTGCAGGAAAAAGGACTCTTGATTTGAAGGTTATGCACCATAATAGGTCATGCTGGTGCTCTGTGGGTAGGTAAATGTTCTTCATAATTTCCCAGTACGACACAGAGTGACTGACACATAGTTATTTTGCTATCTCCCATACCTGAGGGCTAGAACCTGGTCTACCCACTTTTAATCCAGGACTACATCACACTAATTCTCAATTATACATCAACCCCTCAAAAGTATTGTCCTAGATTTTGTAAAATTTATATATTACTTTGGAACATAGTATCCTCTCTCCTATTACAGTTGATCCTACTGAAAGAGATTTCTAATTAACAATGCTCTGAAGCAATGAAATATCAAAAGCATGAAGATCATAGTTCTTTGGTCTATTGCAATGATATCCTTTCTGATCAAGAGATATTATTCTGTATACATTAGAGATAAAAAGGAAGCTACCATAAAATTTACCCCATGGTAATGATAGGTTAAATAGATTAATAGAAGAGCCAGATACCTAATATAATTTCATAGAATTGACACAATCATCTGATACATTATGCTAACATACTGATTTTGTGGGATTCCACAAAATCCCATTGGCACAAAGGTTTTGTATATGCTACCAATACTAGATAGAAAATTTATCTCATTATATAATTCACTCTAACCTGAATTCATTTGTGTAGGGGGAAAAGCCTTATGAGGTTCTTAGTATTTTAGTTCTGATAAGGATAAGCTGTCTTTTCTTATCAAATAATACTGTTCCAGTTTCTCAGCATGTAGCTTCTCTTCCCATTATAGTACTAAAGTTATAGACCACAAACTTGATTCCTTCATTAAACTTGTAAAGAAATTCCATCCAGATTGACTTAACATTAATTTGTTTTGCATCTTTTTGTGCTAACTTCATGCACAGGCCTATACTGTAATAAACCTAAATCTGTAATTGCTATAATTGCAGTATTTTCAACCCAAATATTTTTTACAGTAATCACAAAACAAACAAGATCCTGTTTGTTTATATCATCATATTAAGCCTCTGAAGCAATCAGTGTTGAAGGATAATGGCAAAAAGAAGAGTATCCAAATTCAGTTCCATTCCACTAACTTTCTTATTCACCTATCTGGGACATTTAAAAAAAAAAAGAGCTAAACTGAGGGCAAACAGTTATTAGTTATTATATAAATTTATTCAGATTATATAAAGGTATTTATAAAATTAAACCAATATAAACGAATTAATATTTCAACTTTAAGCTCTTTACGGTGCATAATATTAACTCAATTTCAACTGGAATATATGTTCTCAGCGGAGACGGGTGAATAATGTCTGAGATGTCATTAATTTCTGTTCTTGAAAGATGCCACAACCGCAACAGATTACAACCCACACACCTCTTTTCCTCCCTTTCCTCGCCTAAACAGCAGTCTTCTATTTCTACACGGCCCTTCATTCCAGCGGCGTTTCAGTATTTTGTGCTCTATTATCGCCGCTTTCCCTCCATCATGGTCGGCTTCGTGTCTCTGCCCCTTGACGCATCTGAGCAGATCACCCGACTCGCCCGTTACTCGCCCCCAACTTTACTCCTGCTCTCCTACCTGTCCAGGGTCTGCGGCACTACTAAGCCCGTCTGTTCCGACATCCTCCCCAGGTACGGGAAACCCGGGGGCTCGGTTAAAACAGGCGCCAGCAACCACTCTAGAAAGCAAGGCCCACAGCCTGCCAGAAGGAGTGCCCGGATGCTTCGTTCGCGGCGACAAAGGACGCCACTGAGGACAGGTGCCACTCAAACCTGTCAAGCTTCGACAACGGCAGAGAGCGCGCGCGAGAGCGAGAGAAAACGAAGAAACGGAAGGGGGGGGGGAGGAAGCAAGGCCCTGGCCTCCGAGCAGCGAGAGACGAGAGGGAGGAGCGAGTTACTGCGCACGCGCCGGTTCTTACCTCACAGAGGAACCGCTACTGTGCTCGGCTCCCTTCTCCCCTGCTGTAAGCGAGACTGCAGTCAGCGCTCAAGTCACCATGGGAGATGTAGTTCCTGCTCCTTGCTACCCCTGAGGGGATTTAAATCCCCTTCTCCCCCCGCCCTTTCCTCCTTCTTCTAACGGCGCGCGCGTTACGATTGCTCTCACCACGTCCTTAAGCCGCAGCTGGGTGTGTGAGCGCGAGGCGGGTGGCATTTTGCCTTCGGCTGCGGACGCGGCGAGATGGCTACGCTCGCTGCGGGAAAGGTCAGCACCTCGCCCCTGTCAATTTCTGTGCGGGTTGCTTTTCCTTTCGTCCACCTTGTCGTTCCCTTCTGGGGGAGCGGGAAAGAGAAGGCACTGATTTGTAGTTAGGTGTTATAATATGTGAATTACATCCCCCCTCCCCCCGGCTTTCCTTTTCTTACAGGTTTGTCTTTCTATGTCGTTCTCCTATTTCCAAGTCTCATCTGTGACTTTTTTTATTATGGTAGCTCGACCAATAAAATGGGTGGTTCCTTAGCTGTCAGTAGTCAGAAAAAAAAGTGAGGGAAACAAAGTGAGAACCAGCTCATGCTCTTTTGAGGAAAGGATAATGCCTTCTGCTTTCCTCCCAGTGAGGCTATTAAAACTAATGTTGAATTGGGGAGACAAACCTTGGTGCAGTTTAGTGTTTCAATGGGGTAGCCTCTTAAAATATGTCTACACCCTAGGGAAGAGCTTAATGGTAACTGACCTATTTTCTTTAACCTGCTTGTTGTTTACAGATACATGAAATGGGACAGAAATACCTAGGCAAGAAGTGCTGAACTTCCAACTATTATCTAGAATGCCAGATCTTCCTCAAATTATATCAGAATGATGTAGATAAAACATAGTACATGGGTGGTCCTTGGTGCTCTCTGAGCTTGGTTGTTTTCTTGCAAATGTTTCATTACCCAAACTGATGATATCTAGTTTGGATAATGAAATGTCTGCAAGAAAACAACTAAATTCAAAGAAGCATCAAGGACCCCTCTTTTCAACCTTGTCTTACAAATATTCTCGTCTATCGAAACATGGTACAGTATACCTCAAGCTCACCGTTTAGAAAAAAGAAAACCAAGAACCCTAGCCAGTGGTATGGTTTACACCACACACTTATCCATAGTTAACTGAATCAGAGTTTACTCAACCCAGTTTTTTGAGTCTGAATAATAACGGATGAAACCATAATGTAACTACATAGGCTAAGTTACCTCAATGGGCTACACTAAAATGTGTATGTCAAGTTGTTTTTCAGTATGTTGTACAAACACAGCTAGAGTGGGTTTTCTTCTAGGAATGTAACAAATTGTGCTAATTTTACTTTAGCTTTGTTGTTTTTTTTTAATGTAGGTTAAATAGGTCCATCTGGTTTAGAAGATTGCAGGTGGTTTTGGTTTAACAGTTAATAGTTAGGGATTGAACAAATTTGATACCCTTAAAAAGTTGTAATCAAGAATTAGTTTGTTTTAAAATAGGTCTTCTCATTTCTAAACTAAAATTGGCCTAATTTGGTCATTTTGGCTCCAATGGCCTAATTTAGTCATTTTGGCTCTCTCAAACAGAGACAATTCATTCTTTTATGACAAGATAAAGCTCATTTATTTATCAATAACTAGCAATTTTTCTTCTACCAATTTTAAATACATAATACCAGCTGCTAACTTGTAATTTGATAAACACTAACAAGACAAATAGCAGGATGTAATGATTGTACAACTTTTTTAATAATGGGATGTCTTATTTTTAGGGAACTAGTTATTTCCTTATCAATCATGTGAATTGGATATAAATACAGAATGTTATGTTTAATGTAGAACTTTGCATGGTGAATTTTATATAAAAAACTACCAGTTTTTGCATTCAACCCATAGCATTTGATATCAGTTCCTTATTAAGTTTGCAACCATAAAAATCACCATATATCAATTTTTCTCTTGATACTTCAGTTATGTTGTATTTCTAATTCTGTTATTCACAGCCTCATCATTTTCCTTAAGAGCATCATGGGGCCTACACCAAGTTGTGGGTTGAGGAACAGTGTTATACAATTATAAATATAGCAGCAAGTTGATCCTCTCTTTTTCTTCAATCTCTCACATTTATTTACTTTTTTCTTTCAGTTTTGGGTGCAACTGATTGTCTTGAAGAAACACATGACTATTTAACTTGAAAGACAAAAGTTACATATCTTTTATACTATTTCTGAACTTTTTGAAAGCTCTTGTTTATAGAAATATAGAAATAATATTGTCTATGAAGTGGTAGATCTTGCACGGGTCTTTGGACCTTCTATATGTTTAACTTCCAAATAGCCTATCATTAGGCAATGAGACAAATGTTGAATTCTATTTAGTACTCTGGATATAGAAAGGAATAGATAGAAGAAATCCTGGGGAAAGAATGAGTAGATGTCACTGTATCTTCTGGTCTAATAACACATAAATGCTTGTTCTCCATGATACATTCTCTTTATTTTACTTTTGTGTTTCAAATATAACTTTAAATAAAAATATTCCTTACTGTTCTACAACTGAAGAATAAGCGCTTATATGAAATTATTTATTTTCATGCCCTTTTACAACAAAGTCTCTTTCAGTCAGATTTGACTCCTGGTAATTTCAAGGATATGTTTGTTAGGGTTTTGGCAATAATCAAAGCCTCATAAAAGATATTTCCAATAACATTAATTTTTCTCTATCTTGAAGTAATCCACAAAATACAACTTTTGGTATTTCATCTGCAAATGCATATACTAGTATGTTATGTTTATCCTAGCTCACACGTTTTAGGTTGTTTCCCTTGTTCGGACAATAATAGGAAAACAAAACATTTTGTTTCCAAGTAATGACCTTGTAATACAAAAATTATTATTTTAGTAATTTAATCTTCTAATTAAGCTTTCAGTGGAATATATCTAGAATGCTTTACTCATTCATATTTTATGTGGGCCTTTACTCTTTTTCCTATTAAAAGAAAGCAAGTTATTTACACATTTGAAACATGTTTTATATCTATTAATGTTTCCTCATCTATATGGTAGTATAAATGAATTTTCTTTGAATTTTCACCCTCACTTTATTTTTTATTAATTTCAAAAATGCAAAAACAAGAAAAGCGAAAGGAATACTTATATATGGATAAAATAAACACTGTAGGGAAAATTTGAAATGAAAGTTTGACTATAAAATGAAAATGAAAATAGATTATATAAAAAAATAAGAAAAAGTATTCTAGTAGCCCTTCTCCCTCCTCATTTTTATCCAATTGCTAATTACTACTTTAATATTTTTATTCCATAGTTTGGACATTTGTGATTGTTGCTTGTTTTTATTTGGATTATTTTAATTATTTTTAAACAGTTTCTTTTTTTCCTCAGAAGCCATATTTCTATATCTTAGCTTGCCTTCTTGAATAATATGTTTTATATAAAGGAACCATTTCTGCTTGAATTTGATATCTCTTTCAGTTTTAATGAATTCATCAATAACTTCATGTAGCTTTCTTCGGCGACAATACCAAAGTACCTTTTTCACAATGCTTTGATTTCTTAATATAGTCTACAGGCCTGAGATCCCAAGTAATAAATCAGATCCAATTCTGTTTAGTTTTCTGAGATTAGCCAATGCCGGCTAAGTGCTGCCACCTAGCTGGGCCATCCACAGTATGTATTGATGTGGTTTACATCTGACTAATTCTAAGAATGTTTATCTTAACTGTTTGGTGGTTATTGTCAATTGTCTCACTTCAAGTGACACATGTCTCACTTCAAAAGAAACTAGAGTGATATTATATTCCCAATACGTTGGGTTAGAACAATAAATAAAAAAGTAAAAAAAATGGGTCAAATTAGCAAAAGCAAGACATTAAAGATAAAAGAAAAGAGAAAAATAATCATCAAAAGCCCTTCAAAATGTCACACCCTAAATTCATAGATAAAATTAAAAAAATATTACTTCAACTAAGTGGTAAGCAATTTACAGTATTGGTATCACAAGTAAAACAACCTCACTCCTTTGAAGACTTCCCTAAGTGAGTCAGTAAAATAATTTGGGGCAAAACATAATGCTGAATGAAATAATTGAGTAGTATGAATATATGTGAGAGAGATTATCTCTGCCATCTTTAATTATACATTTAAATTAGACTAGAAAGTAAAGTGGAAACTAATACAGATCAAATAACAGTATAATGTTTCAGGGTGCCGTCTTCAGAAAATAGGCTGACTTTCAACAAACAGAATTTTTGTTCTGTTTGGCTTCTTTTAATAATTTAGTCTGGAAAAGGCAATTAATGGTAGTTGGCTTTAGCATGCCACAGTTAATAAAAATACATTTCATTCAGTTGACACCATCTGTGTATCCATTACAATGGAATGCTCTCAGACTGTCCACCTAAGACTATGAATGAATATAATCTGCCCTTGCCCTTAAATGCCAAATGTCCAGTAAAATGAACCTCTATGGTATTTATTTTTCCACACATCCAGACTTCCACACCACTCTCAGACATTAGATCAAAGATCGAACTGCTTTCCTCAAAAAGAACAAAAGGGAGACTAAAGTATAATGTTTTTTACTGGGAGAAAGACCCCTTTGAACCACGTCTGAATAAATATGGATAGAATTCATTTGCTCAGGTAGAATTAAAACAGATGATTCAGATATTTAAATTCCAATATAATTTAAAAATCCAAAAATCATTATGTAAATAAAAGAGCTCCTTTGCATCTTAGCATATAATATCTTAAGCTACCTTCTGATGAAATGCTTAGATCTTTTATGCCTTCCCCATGTAATTTTGTCAGACAAAATGCAACTGGCAGTAACTGGAAAAATAGGTATTTCTGTGCATTAACTTAGTATTTACAAGTTAATCCATCCTATTAATTGAAGTGATTTGTAATTCCAACACATTGGTTATCCACACAGAGTTTAAGAATTTTTAGTAGGAAAATGCCAGATACAATGTTTTGAAAAATATTTGCTCATTCTTATCTTTGTTATATTTGACTTGAAGATATATGAATGTTGTTAAATATATAAGTCAATTATTTCATAAAAATATATTAAAAATACTTAAATGAAAAAGGTTAATTAATTAATTATAATTATAATTAATTTATTTACAGTTACTAACTAGAAGTTTACCACCATAAAGAATGTTATGAAAGTATAGTATGTTACATTTCTCATTTGTTGTAACAGAGTTACTACATCTAAAGTCAGTTATGGAAAAGAGAAATCAAATTGTCATATTATCCATGATAGATTTTAATTTATAGCCACATAGGATTTTGTATGTGAATATGTGTGCACATGTGCACTTTCCTGAAGAGAAGGGATACCTTTCATTGTAAACAGTAAGGAGTAAATACTAAGGGATTTTTTAAAATCCATGGATATATGCAAAAATGGATTGATATATGCATGATTTTTTAAAAAAAATATTTGCAAGCAGATAGGAGGGACACAATAGATCTGAATATATGTTGATAAATATATTAAGCCTTTTTAATGAAATGAAATCCAGTTGCTTAGTTAGGGTCTAAGGTTATAATAACTTACTTTGAGCAGCTATTACCCGGTCGATTTTAATTCAGATACGATACAAATCTCTAAAAAAAACAAGGAAACGTTAGCGTTTTGATCCATGTCTAAACTAAGATCAGTTAATCATATATGATGAAGTAACTATTATTTCCAAACGTACCTGTTCGGCCAGTTTTCTTTGTTGAAAAAGCCATATAGCCGTATTTCCTTTTATTAAACGCGCGTCGCTCCTTTGAATAGTGTATTACAGTATTCTCCCAGCCTGCCTCTGTTTGAAAGAGTTCATTCGCAAAAGACTTCAACCCCCACAATTCCGCGCGCGCGCATGCGCTTTAAGCTTACAGTTGTCAAAGTGCTCTTGCCAGAGCAATTTCTATTTATCATATACCAAACCCGAAAGAAGGAAATAGACATACTGTCCCTACCTTTCATTGATCTTTAAATACAGAACACTCAAAAGGTAAATGTTCTGGGCAATTTGCCTTGACTGTGTGGGTTACTGCATGCAAATGAAGTACAAAGGGGATATTATTTTTCCGTAGTATACTTTGGATTGACATAAATATATTCAGTGGGAGAAAAAGGGGTGGAGAAATCAGGGGACTCTGGATATTAACCTACAACTAGATATTTGGCTACCTGCTTTTTTTTTAGAGTAACATCCTTTTTTTTCAGGTTCAGACTGCTTACAGTTATTAAAAGTAGATGTTGACCTTGAGAAGAAAGATGTGATTTTTAGTGAAATCCTAAGTGTAATATGAAGTTCATAGTGGTATTTAAATCAGTTGTTACAGTATAGCTTATCATCTACATTGGAAGGCATAGTGTTAATAATATCCTTATTTATAGAAATGTTTTCATAAATAGGCATTTTAAAACTGGTGCAGAGTAATACCCCCAGATTTTTTTTTCCTTTGCATGAAATATTTTGTATTATAAATATTTTATATTGTCTACACTACTGCTTTGATGAATTTGATCTGAGTGCAGCTAATAGAAAACTACACAAAAGCTTTGAGGTTATGGCTTGCTGCAGTGCTGCTTTAAAGGTTTGCCTGCACCCCCTATAGCAGCGTCAGAACTGCGTGCAAAGATGCGCTAGTTTACTCCATTTGGGGATTCTGAATTTAGCTTAGAACACTCTATATACGCACCCTCCGCAACACATTATTTTTAGCTCGTGTGTAGATTAGTAGTGAAGAAAATTATTTCTGTGAACTATCCTGCTGTGGATTAATACCCGTACAATATATGCTTCTGGCTGTTCTTACTTGATTAACTAACTATCTGTTTGAAGAGGAATGATAAATTTATGAATCCCTGGAATGAGAGAGATGTGAGAAAATTACTATGTTCTTAATTCTCTTAAGTCCTCTAAGCAGCTGCTGTTATGATGCCTTGATTACCTCTATGTAGTTAGATAGCAAGAAAAAAAAAGTGATTTGAACACTGGGTAAAGGGAGGAGGGGAGAAGGAAGCCACGATATAGCATTAAATTTTGAATGTTGTACCTATTACTAACTAATTCAGTTTATAAAGTTCAGTATATAGGATTGATGGCTGCCTTTAGCCTATTTTACTATTTAACTTTTTCTCACAGCTTTCTTGCTATAAAAGCTAATGAATGCTAATGAATGTTTTTACAATTGTTTATTACATTTTAAACTGCCCAATAATAAAAGATTTTTGGAAGGATATTAATGTGAATGAAAGTAATGATATATATTTCTGAAAGTCTAGTTATTTACAGTGGGCAGTATTTTAAATAATGTATGCATACTCAGATTCTGCAATTTGCCTTTGGAAAATAGTTACAGCTGTGGGAATACTTTTATCAATTTTGAGGGTCCCAGTATTTCAGGATTTTTAAACCAAAATAAATTTTTTTAAAGAAGGGTTAATCGTATGAATGAATATTTGTGTCCAATCATAAAGGAGTGTAACTGAATTCAATTGACTTTACTCTCAATCATAAAGTTGAATTCTTTAAAATTTACAGATTATGTTGTGTTATATTTAATGTGCTTGAAAGAAATACATAAGCAAATCAGAAACAAACTAATTATTAAGCAGTTTTTTTTAATCAAAAATGGTTGTTAAGCCACACTGAATATTTTGTTATGTAGGATACTTTCCCTCCTTCTCCCTCCGTAATTTAAAGAGCAAAATGCCTTGTCTTGAGCGTTTACACTTATTCTAAATTTGAGATCGCGAATAGTGAACTGCTTCAAATTAGTTGGCTGAACCTTTTTGTTAATTAATCAAAATGGGTATTCGGCCCTTTAAAAGTCTATTCATAGGAAAGGGGTGGAGGAGAGTAAAGGCTGCTGTCTTTTTAACCTTGCTGAAGGACGCAGCAGTATTTATTGACGTATGCAAATAACAGGGGAGGAGGAGGAGGAGAGGAGGAGGAGGAGGAGGGTGTACGGAAAAACAGGAACCAGAATCAGTTTCTCATTGCAGGGCGAGAGCTCTGAGTTCCGGTATAAGAGAAAGAGACGTGGCGAAATTGCTGTATATCTGTGCCCTATAAGCACATTTTTCCTTTACACTGAAAGGAAGCAAGACATCGAAAAGGGTGAAACCTCTTCAAATGTATTTTTAGAGGCAATGTGAACTGGTCGTGCTGATTCAAACCGTTTACTCCTAAAGGGAGTGGGGGTGGGGATTACGTATTAGTATTGCTGTGTCTTGCAATTTGCGGCGGCTTTATGCTAGCAGTGGAATTCTAGCAAGCAGTGGAAGGCTAAAGCAGCTTTATGAATGTTAATTATGGTTTTTCTCCCCCCCTTTTCTCCTCGTTTCAGCTGCGCAAACCATGCAGGATGATTTACTGATGGACAAAAGCAAAGTCCAGCCTCAGCGGCAGCAGCAAGATCCAAACGCAGCAGAAGCTCCTTCTACACCCATAACGTCAGAGACACCCAAACCGGAGGACAGTCCAGTGACTAGCATCGGCTCAGCAGCTCCTGCCCAAAATAGCAAAGAAAAGATGCAAATGGAGTCTCCCATCTTGCCGGGCTTAAGTTTCCACCAGCCTCAGCAGGAGCCTACAGCAGGCACCTCCTTGTCTCCCTCCTTCGGAAGCACTTGGTCTACAGGGACCACAAACGCAGTGGATGATAGTTTTTTTCAAGGGATTACCCCAGTTAATGGGACAATGCTTTTCCAAAATTTCCCTCACCATGTCAATCCTGTTTTTGGAGGCACTTTCTCCCCCCAGATTGGCCTAGCTCAGACTCAGCACCACCAACAGCAGCAGCAGCAGCAGCAGCAACAACAAGTACAGCAGCAGCAAAGGAGGTCGCCGGTCAGCCCTAATCAGGCATCTTTTGCTCAGAGAAATGCTGCTTATAGCCATCAGCCCATCATGACCAGCAAACCTTCTTCCTCTTCCACCTCCACCTCTTCTCCTTCCAGCTGGAATAACCATCAAAATGCAGCTTGGAGTACACCTTCCAATCCTTGGGGTGGGCTGCAAGCTGGCAGAGACCCTCGAAGGGCAGTTGGTGTGGGAGTTGGTGTGGGAGTTGGAGTTGGAGTGCCATCCCCGCTCAATCCCATTTCACCTCTTAAAAAGCCCTTTTCTACCAATGTTATTGCCCCACCGAAATTTCCCCGGGCTGCTCCTCTAGCTCCAAAATCCTGGATGGAAGACAACGCCTTCAGGACAGACAATGGCAATAATCTGTTGCCTTTTCAGGTAAAGTCTTTTCTTGGAGTAGGGGGGGAGAGAAAGGATGGGCAGACATATTTTAGCATTTGTCCTATAATTCAATCCTGGGTAAAATTAAATGTTTTTTGTCATTACAGCTTATGCCGGCATTAGGTAGCAGTCTTTCTTGATATAATTAAACCTATATACTTGTTGAGAGCATTCACATATGTTAGGGACTGGAAAACACATTATTTCTAGGCTCCTTGTTTCCATTTGATTTTCAGTGTAAAAAATATTTGAATTTGGTTCTAGCTTTTTTCCTTAATATTTGCTCCTGTTTTATGCATTTTAACTAAAACAGTATTCTTTAAAAATGTGAAATACAAAGTTTCAGATCTTGTGTAGGTGGCTTCATATTGTAAATTAAATAGTATGACCAAATCCAACAACACTTGAGGAATCTGTTTAATTATCCTTTCCACATTAAAGGGCCAATCCCTTTTGCTTAAAACTGCTCTGCCTCACTAATGCTGAGAAATGAGGTTCGACAGGATTGTGTTTGCAAAATTAGGCATATGAATGCAAATAACATGCTGAAATTGCTAAAATATAATCATGATAATATGTCCAGGGTGTGGATTTAAATAGATCCAGGAAGAGGCTTGGGTGTGTATTGACCTGAATAGCATTTACTATTAATAAGAACATGTATAATGGCAATACAGAGATTAAGACACATTAAAATATTTGTGTGGAGTAAACATTTTGATTCTTTCACACTCAATATCAGAGGAAAGATACAATAGGACATGACCTTCACAGCCATATTGCAATGGGGCCTATTTACTAGCTACATAAGCCTTGAAATATTTAAAGTGGCAGTGTCTTGCAATGGTTTTGTTATCTAAGAGGTCAAGACAGATCAATTGCAACCAGACTGAATAAAATTGAAGCTTTGCAATTTTAATGCAGAATGGAACTTTCGTTGGTATTAAATGTTTACCTAAACATGTATGCCAATTTAGTTATCTTATATCCAAAACAGATTATTAAAATAAAAGCTTTTCTGTATTCTAATGTATTTTACCTGTAAGCTATTGTAAGTAAATATACAATTTATTTGATTCTTTGTGCAGTGAAATTAACTAATTTTGGTTTTGCACTAATTCATTTTTTCAATACATACAATATAAATTATAAAAAAATACAATATATTCAGTGGTACAGAATATCAACTTACTAATGCTGTTTCATTTCACTTAGAGAACTCCAGCCTTTAGACCTCAATTTGATACTTCACTCTGTTAATAATTTTTATTGGTTCTGCAGTTTTAAGGGAGGGGCATATTTCTGCCACTTAGTATTTCACTCTTAAAACTAAAGGATAGATAGATTGAGACAGACGGAGACTGTCATGTCATTTTTTAAAATTGTATTCCAGTGTTGCATTCTAAAATTCGTAATTGTAATACAGGTAGTCCTCAACGTATGACCAGAACTGAGCCCAAAATTTCTATTGCTAAGTGAGACATTTGTTAAGTGAGTTGCCCCATTTTATGACCTACCTTATCCTGGTTGTTAAGCAAATCACTGCAGTTAAATTAGTAACTCAGTTGTTAAAGGAATCTGACTTCCCATTGAGAAAAATCACAAAAGGTGATCACATGACTTTGGGACACTGCAACTGTCATAAACATGAGTCAGTTGCCAGACGTCTGAATTTTGAACACATGACAGACTGGTGCCATGGTTGTGTGAAAAATGGTCATGTCACTTTTTTCAGTGTCACTGTAACTTTGAATGGTCACTAAACGAACTGTTGTAAGTTGAGGACTACCTGTATATGCTTTTAATTATATGAAACAATAAAATAATTATATGAATATATGTTTTTATAGAAGTTTTATTAAACATTACAATTAAAAAATATAAAAACTAATGGAAACTAAAAGAATAAAAAGTAGGAAGTGCGGGAAAAATATAAAATAGAAATAGAAAAAATATAGTAAAAAGAAAATATATATAAAGAAATGACTTTCCCCTCCATGATATATATGCTCAATTTTAGTAACTTATTGCTGCTTCTTAAAATGCAACAAATGTATTTTCTTCCCATTTATCCCTTAAAATAAACAGATCCTTAACATTTAACCTTGATCAGACAAACCAACTTTATATTCCTTCCTTTTACTTTTAACAATCTCTATCTTTAATCCCTTCAAATACAGTCCTGGAACTTGATTTGTTTTGGTAATTTTTTTATCTGTTTTCACAAAACTCTTCAAAACTTTTAACAAAGCTGTCTTGTAATTCTAATATGAGATAATTATTCAGATCATTCTTTTGATTTGTTATTTGTATATCCCTTTTAATTAAGATATCAATTGGTTTCATTTGTATACCTATATAGCATCTTTTTCCATATTGTAGGCTATCATTTTTAAATCCACTTTCAAATCAGTCTGTCTTGTCCAGTAAAACTTGTTATTTCATATCTTTTAAGCATTCTATAATGGAGAAAGATTTAAAATTAACTTCTGGGTCCATTGCTCACAAATATCGTCTAATGTTAAAGTATTCTGCTTCATTTTTTAACAGTAGTTCACATTTAAATGTGAATTTAATTGTAATATTTAGTTCTTTCTGGTTCCCTCTAGTGTCCAATGTTCATGGCCCCGGCTACCTTTTTTTTAAGAATTCAAAAGAAAAATATTTTCCCATAAAGGGTTCTATAATTAATTTTAAAATCTTATTTCAAATCCTTCTAGAGCCTTAGTTCATTTGTAATTTTCCAAAATTAATATTCTAATTACTCTTTTGCAGTTTATTCCAAAATTATTTTTTAAAGTCCTTAAAGTAACTTATTTTGCTGAAGTGGTATATATAAAAAAACCTTTGTCAATTCAAAGGTTCCTAATATCTGAAGAGTAATTAAACAAGCAATTCCCAATCATGATTAGAAATGGCTCTGACTGCAGTTCAGGCAGACTTCTAAATGGACCAGATACCACTGTCTACTCATGAGGAGCAACTGTCTGGAACACAGTCCTGAATCTTCTCCCTGTTTAAAGAGGAATTTTGAAAAGCTGATGTACTTGCTGGCTCTTCGTTCCATCACAGTTGTAGATTCTGCTTTTAGCAGAGCCATCTTCAGGTCACCATTTCTTCTTCTGAAGAGTCAGTATATGCTTCTAACAATATACAACATCATATTGACATTTGAAAGCATAAATATTTATGCTAAGATAGATAAAAAGTAGTGGTATTCTAAATTATACTGTTAGTATAAGGTAATGTATAATACTTTCCTAATCAGCCTTCCATCCTTCTGAGGTCGGTAAAATGAGGACCCAAATTGTTGGGGGCAATATGCTGACTCTGTAAACTGCTTAGAGAGGGCTGTAAAGCACTATGAAGCAGTATATAAATCTCCTATTGCTATAGTGTGCTTTGGAATATAAGCCCCAAACTGAAGGAATTTATGATAAAAAATGCAAAAACAACCACACCCCTTTTTAGGAACTACAATGCTACACTTTTAAGTAAAAGCAAACATACTTTTCAGAGATTAAATGTGATCCTCAATTGAACATATTTTTGTAATAGACGGAATGGATACTCCAGGTTTATTATGTAAGATTATTCCCTTTTGCCCTTTTTCTGCCCTGTCAAAAGAATTAATTTCTTTTAGAGTTGTCTTTTAATGGCAACTGATATTTGTTCTTTTGATATTACTGTTGAAACATGGCCATTGTATGTTTGCCAAACCATATACTTAAGTTTTTCAATATCAGGATACACATTGTCTTCAACACTACATTTCCATTGAATCTTTTATAATTATTTGAAGTAGTTGATATTTCTTTTTCTGAATGTCCCAATGTTTTTTCACTGACAATTTGGTCATTCTTTGGAAGAACATTTCATTTTGAACACATATAGCAAGCTCCATACAGAATCTAATGATCATGAATGTTTTGTATACTGGATATAAATGCACAGAAGCTTTATATTGGTTTAGTAGTTATTTAGTTGTTATTTCTATTTCTCTGACAATCCAAGGAACCATAGTTCTGAAATTTGGACCTGAGAATGTTTTATCAAAGTACAATTCTGGTTTTATTGTTATAAGTCCTTACAATTGAAAATTAAGATTTAATAGTAGGACTCCTTGACCTGAGAGCTTTGAGTACTGTTAAGAACACCTAATATCACAATGATTGATTTTAGTATATGTTTAACATTTTGAAAGAACAATTAAGCAATTTATTACTGGTTTTTGGTGCTGTCTGAGAATATATAATTTTAACCCAGTATGTTAAGTGTTATAATAATGTTGGAATTATAAACATGGTTATACTTTGTGAAATTACTAGCTAAGATATAAGGTATACATTTTTACTTACTGTAAGATTTGTAACTTTTTAAAAGCCATAATTGTCAATATGTTAGTGACGGTATCATGTCACATATACTATTGTACTGTCATCCAAACCATTCAAAGAAGTAAGAGCATGTTAAAATACAAAAAAAAAACCAACCCAAAACCCTATTCCAATAATTCTGGGCATTAATTACTTGCTGTGCTATATTTAAACAGCACCGCGTAATATGCATACATTCAATTCAGTTCAGTCTTAGAAATCAAGTCACAGAGATACATGAGGGAATAAGTGGTGTAATTGAAAAAAGACTTAACTTACTCTGTATAGCTATGTATATAGTGTCATTTTTAAGTGCTAGAATGTCTAAAATATTTTAATTTATCAGCTGTAAGCATAAAAAACCTCTTTTCTCCACATTATCATAATTATATGTTATATAGCTTGTTTCTTCTTTAAATTAATATTAAACTATTATTTCTCATTTTTTCTCATCTTATTTAATTACATTTAAATCTCAGTTTGCTTAATAGTTATTCTGCAAGATAGCATTGTTCCATTGTTGCTTATGGAAGATCCTGCTTGATTTGTTAGCAGGATATCCTGGAACTTAAGATGCCTTTTGCAATAACACATAAATTCAGTTCTCTTTTATAAGATTTT